CACACACACACACACACACAATGTGCAAACTCCACACGGACAGTTGCCCGAGGGTGGAGTCGAACCCGGGCCCCTGGTGCCCTGCTAACCACTGAGCCACCATGCTGCCCCTTGCCCCAAGTCCAGTGGCTTGTCCCCAGGGTGGTGCCTGCTGGTCTGCATCGTGCCAGTGGACAGTCTCTCCTTACAAGTGCCTGGGCATTTTACTAGCTATTCCCCTCACCCTCCAGCAGTGCTCTTTGGCTGCAGATGCCCTCGACCGTGCTGCTGGGTAGCCCTGCCTTGCGAGTGCCTCAGGGTATTTTACTGCTTGGGTGAGAGGGATGGATCAGTGCCTGTCATTGTGCCCCTGGTACGGGATAGCAGATCGGCGCTGCAGTTCAGCGGTGCCTGACTGGCAGGGTTGTGGAGTGGGCTCGATGGAGGAAGGGACCACTGGGCAGGAGAGGTCTCAATGCTGCAAGCAAACCCTGTTGTAAATACCTGGGATGGAGGAAGGCCACACAGCAGCGGGGGTTGGGGCAGTGACTGAGATGGGATTTACACAAACGTCCCATTGCTGCTACCTCTGTGGCCAGTCGGGGCACCAAACGAGGAGCGTGTCGCTCCTGTATTCCAGGGAAAGCGTGGCAATGGGAATGAAATTGGAGGGGCGGGGGGACATTTGTCTGGGTTGTGACTGGTGACAGTGGAGGAGATGATAAATTGGTAGCGTGAGCAGTTCTCTCCTGCTCTCATCGTGGTCTGTTCCTTCTCTGCGCGACAGCAGAGAATCAATAGGAGGAAAAACACAGATTAGGCAGCAGTGGGATCTGGGTGTTCTTGTGCACGAAACACTGAAAGTTAGAGCACAGGCCAGCGTATGTGCAAATGAAAACATGGGTCACCCAGCTGCTATTGGGAGGAACAAGGGATGCTCAGAACCAGAGGCCCTTCTATTTAAACCCCTTACCCCTCATTAATGGGTGAATCACAAAATCCTCTTGTCCTTGCACAGCCCTTCCTCCCAGCCTCCAGTGTCCTCTGAACTTTGAGTTCCCTCCACAGGTCAGCCTTCCTTACCGTGGGGATGATGTCTGATGATTTTTTTATTAAAACAGGGATGGCATCAGATGAAGGGGGTCAAACAGATTGGCAGTGCAGTTTTTGATTTTAATCTGTGCTGAGTGAAGTCTCTCTCTCTCTCTCTCTCTCTCTGTCTGTCTCTGTCTCCCTGTCTCTCTCTCCCTGTCGCCCCACAGTCAGGAAGAGGCCCAGGCCATTGACCAGGAGTTGTTTAGCGAATACAAGTTCAGCGTGGACCAGCTGATGGAGTTGGCAGGCTTGAGCTGTGCAACTGCCATTGCTAAGGTAAGTCCCCAACTGCCATGAAGTTAGTTTTGAAACTCTGTATTTAGAAGCATTGCAATAAGATTGGTTGTTTGTACGTGGTCTCTTTGTCCTTTCCTTTCAATGTAAAACAGTATGGATTCACATTCATGTTTCCTTTGCTATTTAAAGTTTGATTTGTCTTCACTCCCATTTCTGCACCAGCAAAAACAATGAAATGTTCTCTTATCTGTAATTTCGTGTGTCGTGATGTTTTGTAAATAATTCCAAGATCCTTGTTAATTTGAATAAAGGGTTGGTTAACAAGAACATTAAGTAGTACAGGTTTGTGGGTTTTTTTATCTATTTGCGGTGCCTGACTATGTCTTCAAAATCTTCCCGAGTGTCGTGGAGCCGCCAGGGTACAGCAACGGGAGAACCTGGTCAAGTGTGTGCACCCCCCCCTCCAAAAACCCCCAGCCATCCTTCTTACAGAGTCTCGATTGGGCGGGAGTTACGCCTGGTCACCTTGCAATAATCCTTCAATCCTGGGCTGTTCACTGTTACACAGTCATGGAGTCATACAGCACAGAAACAGACCCTTCGGCCCAACTCGAACATGCTGACCCAGTATCCTAAATTAATCTAGTCCCGTTTGCCAGCATTTGGCCCTTATCCCTCTAAACCCTTCCGATCCATGTACCGTCCAGATGCCTTTTAAATGTTGTAACTGTACCAGCCTCCACCACTTCCTCTGGCAGCTCGTTCCATACACGCACCACCCTCTGCGTGAAAAAGTTGCCCCTTGGATCCCTTTTACATCTTTCCCCTCTCACCTTAAACCTATGCCCCTCTCGTTTTGGACTCCCCTACCCTGGGGAAAAGACCTTGGTTATTCACCCTATCCATGCCCCTCATGATTTTATAAACTTCTATAGGGTCACCCCCTCAGCCTCTGACGATCCAGGGAAAATAGTCCCAGCCTATTCAGCCTCTCCCTGCAGGATAATTGTGTGTCGGTGTGTCTAAGTGATTTTATTTTTAAATGGGGATAGCATCAGCTGAAGGGGCTGACTCTGGAGTCGGGCAGATGCCAGTGCAGTTTTTTGTTTAGACTGTCTGTCTGTGTGACTCTGTCTCTCACTGCTGAGCAAGCCACTGGGTGCGCTGTGGGAAGTCGCTGGTGATGGAGCTTATCGATCGATTACGTTGAGCACGTGCAAAGGGGGACTCTTTCTTTCCGCCATCAAATTTTACTTCAACCTCTCATAGAATCCTGACTGTGCACTAAGAGGCCATTCGGCCCATCGAGTGTGCAGTGACCCAGATGCACCTCCCACGTCCCCAACCCCGAGACTCCCCTAGCCTGCACATCTTTGGACTGTGGGAGGAAACTGAAGCACCCGGAGGAAACCCACACAGACACGGTGGGAGAATGTGTAAACTCCACACAGACAGTCGCCCGAGGGTGGAATCGAACCCGGGTCCCTGGTGCCGTGAGGCAGCGGCGCTAACCACTGAGACACTGTGCTGGCAACTTTTATGAATTTCACGTGACTCTGTTACAGCGTTGTCACTTGCAAGTTTTGAATTGATTTATTTTCATTGTTTTCCAGAAAGTTTCTAAGGGGCTTCAAAATGTCGTTAATTGATGAGCCCTTTTTGGTTGCACATGGAGGGTGTTACTTTGATGAAAATTGAAGTTTGCTAGAGGATTTGGTTTTGCTTTGTTGGCCTGTTCAGGGGCTGTCACAAGTTCAGTTTTATGTGAGTTTATTGGTGCTCAAACGAGAAAGAGGGGCCGAAGCATTTGATTGATTATTGTCATGTGTACCTAGGTACAGTGAAAAGTTTTTTGTTTTGCATGCAGTACAGGCAGACCCTACCTTACAAAGTGCATTAGGGTGATAGAACAGAGCGAGGAATACAATGTTATGGGTGCAGAGAAGGCGCACAAAGAGCGAGATCAACATTTAAATTTAAAATTTGAGAGGTAATTCAGAAATCTAATAACAGTGGGGAAGAAGCTGTTCTGGAATCTGTTGGTCCATGTGTTTAAGCTTTAGTATCTTCTGACCAACAGAAGAAGTTGGAAGAGATTACAACCAAGGTGGGAGGGGGTCTTTGACGTTGGCTGCCTTCCTGAGGCAGCGAGAAGTGTAGATGGTGTCACTGGATGGAAGGTTTGTACATGTTTAAGTTTTTGTATCTTTGTCATTTAGAGAGAGGGAAGTGGGCACCGTAGGGCTGGAGTGTGCTATCTTCCCCGCCCCCCCCCACAACACCATTTGATTTAAGTCCCTTCTTCCCCCTCCTACTCTTCCTCTACTTCTGTTCTTGTTGCACTGGCCCAAGGGTTGGGCAGTGCTTAATGCATTAATTATTTAATCAGTTAAATGGGTTCAGATATAAAAAAACTACTGAGGGGCTACCTTCTGGTATATGTCATGAGGGCTGCATCACCAGCTTTGCTCTTTTCCTGTGACATTTTGCTGCTGTTAGAGTGAGCGACGAGGGTTTTTAATCAGATTATTTAGGTCATCAATTGCTGACGCATGTAGTTTACTCTTTCATACAGTAACTCTCACCCAGTTTAACAAGAACAGAAATTGCAGGAAAATCTCAGCAGGCCTGGCAGCGTCTGTGGAGGGAGAGAACAGATTTGACACTTCAAGTCTGGTTCGTAGTCCATTGAAAGTGGAGTCGCAGGTAGACAGGGCGGTGAAGAAGGTGTTTGGTACGCTTGTCTTTATTGGTCAGTGCGTTGAGTATAGGGAGTTGGGAGGGTCATGTTGCAGGTGTACAGGACGTTGGTTAGGGCCACTTTTGGAATACTGTGTTCAATCCTGGTCTTCCTGCTATAGGAAGGATGTTGTGAAAGGGTTTAGAAAAGATTTACAAAGATGTTGGAGGGTTGGAACTATAGGGAGAGGCAAAATAGGCTGGGGCTACTTTGCCAGGAGCATTGGAGGCTGAGAGGTGACCTTATAGACATTATAAAATCATGAGGGGCATGGATAGGGTGAATAGCCAAGGTCTTTCTTTCCACAGAGGTAGGAAAGTCCAAAACCAGAAGGCTTGGGTTTACGTGAGAGGGGAATGATTTAAAATGGACCCAAGGGACAGCTTTTTCACACAAAAGGGTGGTGCGTGTATGGAACGAGCCGCCAGAGGAAGTGGTGGAGGCTGGTACAATTACAACATTTACGAAGCATCTGGATGGGTAGATGAATAGGAGGGGTTTAGAGGGGTAGGGGCCAAATGCAGGCAAGAGGGACAAGAGTAATTTAGGATATCTGGCTAGCATGGACGAGTTGGACCGAAGGGTCTGTTGATGTATAACTCTGACTCCCAGTCCAGTGATCCTTCATCAGAATATTTTCATCTCTTTCTGCTCTCGCGCTCGCTCGCTCTCCCCAGTTTAGCAACCCATTTGTCTTTTGCACTGGGCTGCTGCCTCCTTCGAGACTATATAATGAAGCATTTCGCATCCCCTTTTAGGTTCTGATGAAGAATCACACTGGACGCCGAATTATTAACTCTGTTTCTGTCCCTCGACAGAACCCCTCTGCTGCAGCATTCTGATTTTATTTCAAATTTCCAGCGCCTGCAGTGTTTTGTATTTGTTCGGGTGGACACGTAGATGGCAGGGTGTTTGGGGGTGGGGTGGAACATTGTTTGGCGTAAAGCAGAGAATTGAAACATCTCTGTGAGAGGTGATCTCATTGAAACATGTCCAATCCTTAAGGGCTTTACAGGGTCAATACTGAGAGGGTGTTTGTGGGGGAGATCAATTAACAGGGCAAAGCGGGAGGGGAAGTGGAGTTGAACCATGATTAAATAGCCTACTTCCACTCCTAGTTCTTGTGTTTTGGGAACGAGTCTGCTATCTCCCTCTTTATTAATTCACGGGATGAGGGCGTCGCTGGCCGGGCAGCATTTATTGCCCATCCCTAATTGCCCCAGAGGGTAGTTAAGAGTCAACCACATTGCTGTGGGTCTGGAGTCACATGTAGGCCAGACCAGGTAAGGATGGCAGTTTCCTTCCCTAAAGGACATTGGGTTAACAATCAACAATGGATTCATGGTCATCATTAGACTCTCAATTCCAGATATTTATTGAAATCAAGTTCCACCATCTGCTGTGGCGGGATTTGAACCCAGGTCCCCAGAACATTCCCTGGGTCTCTGGATTAAAGTCCAGCGATAATACCACTAGGCCATCACCACCTCTCTCAAATAATCCATGTCCGTTACCTCTTTTGGCTCGGGTGCTGTTTTAACTTGTGCTGGATTTCCGTGGGAAACATCTTCTGCTGTTCGAGGCTCGACACTTGAGACATGTTTCCCAACTTTGCCGTCTCCATTACTCGCTTCTCTCCCCTGTCTTGCCAGGCGTACCCTTTGTCGTCACTAAGGAAAGAGACCCCCACCGTGTTGGTGCTGTGTGGACCGGGGAATAATGGTGGAGATGGACTGGTGTGTGCGCGGCACCTCAAACTGTTTGTAAGTTCAGACACACTGCACTCATTTAATCAGAGAAGCAAGGTTCCTCGGTATGCTTTTAACAATGAGCGTACGGCTTTCCCCACGGTGTCCCATCAAACACTCCCAGGGACAGGGACGGCATGGGGTTAGATTAAGAGGAAAGCTCAGGAAAGTATAAATCATGCTTGTAGGAGCGACAGGAGATGCACAGGAACAAACCCCCGAGTGCTGAAAATGTAGAATGTGAAGACTGTGTGAAGTCAGCATAGTTTCCCTTGAAGGTAGAGGAGTGATCTAAATGTGGGTCTAAGGTGATGTGATGGGGTCAATCGAACCGAGTGTTGGAGTGCAGGACACAGGGAGGAGAGCCCTTGTGAATGTAGAGCAAGCTCTACCATGGTTCAATCGAATATCGAAACAGGCTGGAGGGAGTAAACAGGTACTTCAGTGTTCATCAACAGCAGGGGATGTGCGGGCTTGAAATCATTCTCTCCATCTCTATCCCTCTCGCACACGTCCGTCTGTCTCTCTCTCTCTCTCTTCCTCCCCCTCTGTCTGTCTGTCTGTCTCTCTCTACCCCCCCCCC